GGCCTCCAACTTAACAGCGATGTCCTCCAACCGAATAGCGATGGCCTGCAACAGGATGGCCTCCAACCTACTAGCGATGGCCCCAAACCTAACAGCAAGGCCACCAACCAAATAGCAATGGCCTCCAACCTGGTAGCAATGGCCCCCGACCTAGTAGCAATGGCCCCCAACCAAATAGCAATGGCCTCCAACCTAGTAGTGATGGCCTCCAACCTGTAGCGATGGCCTCCAACCTAATAGCGCTGGCCTCCAACCGAACAGCGATGGCCTCCAACCGAATAGCGATGGCCTCCAAGGTAATAGCGATGGCCTCCAACCTCCAACGCAATATATTTGGCCTCCAACCCAACACAGATGGCCTGCAGCCTAATAGCGATGGCCTCTCCAACCGAATAGTGATGGCCTCCAACCAAATAGCAATGGCCACCAACCTAATAGCGATGGCCCCCAACCTAATAGATCTAATAGCAATGGCCTCCAACCAAATAGCAATGGCCACCAACCAATAGCAATGGCCACCAACCTAATATCAATGGCCCCCAACCTAGTAGTATTGGCCTCCAACCAAATAGCAATGGCCCCCAACCTAATAGCAATGGCCTTCAACCTAATAGCGATGGCTTCCAACCTCCATCCTGTTAGCGAAGGCCTCCAACCTCCAACGCAATCGATTTGGCCTCCAACCCAATAGCGATGGCCTGCAGCCTAATAACGATGGCTTCTCCAACTGAATAGCGATGGCCTCCAACCAATTAGCAATGGCCACCAACCTACTGTAATAGCAATGGCCTCCAACCTAATATCAATGGCCTCCAACCTAATAGCAATGGCCTCCAACCTAATCCCAATGGGCTCCAACCTAATATCAATGGCCTCCAACCCAATAGGGATGGCCTCCAACCGAATAGCGATGGCCTCCAACCCAATAGCGATGGCCTCCAATCTAGAAACGATGGCTTCCAGCATAATTCCGGTTTCCAACCGAATAGCAATGGCCTCCAACCAAATAGTGGCCTCCAACCTAATAGCAATGGCTTCCAACGTAATACCGGTTTCCAACCAAATAGTGATGGTCTCCCGAATAGCGATGGCCTCCAACCTAATAGCAGTGGCCTCCAAACTAATAGCATTGGCCTGCAACCTAATAGCGATAGCAAAGGCCTCCAACCCAACAGCGATGTCCTCCAACCTAATAGCGATGGCCTCCAACCAAATAGCAATGGCCACCAACCTAATAGCAATGGCCTTTAACCAAATAGCAATGGCCACCAACCAATAGCAATGTCCACCAACCTAATAGCAATGGCCCCCAACCTAATAGTAATGGCCTCCAACCTAATAGCAATGGCCTCCAACCTAGTAGCGATGACCTTCAACCTGCTAGCTATGGCTTCCAACCTCCAACCTGTTAGCGATGGCCTCCAAGGTAATAGCGATGGCTTCTAACCTCCAACGCCATAGATTTGGCCTCCAACCCAATAGGGATGGCCTCCAACCTAATAGCAATGCCTTCCAACGTATTACTGGTTTCCAACCTAATAGGGATGGCCTCTCCAACATAATAGCGATGGCCTCCAGCCTAATAGGCTTCTGGCTTTTTTTTTAATCAGGGCCAAGGAGGCCCAGTGGACAAGGAGAGCCTTTTTTTCACACTGTCTCTTCAGACATGTGTTTGGTCCTTTCTCCTCAAACGAGAACCTGCAGCCAGGCAAGGCGGCTGGCCGTGGTCCTGGTGGAGAGAAGCTCCTTCAGGAGCGCCTGCAAGTTTTCTGCATATCCTCAATCTAGCAAGTTTGTTAGCTCTATTTGTTAATGTCTTATAGCGGACTTGGCTTGCTTGCTTGCTTGCTTGCTTGCCTGCCTGCCTGCCTGCCTGCCTGCTTGCCTGCTTGCCTGCTTGCCTGCTTGCCTGCTTGCCTGCTTGCCTGCCTGCCTGCTTGCCTGCTTGCTTGCTTGCTTGCTTGCTTGCTTGCTTGCTTGCTTGCTTCTTAGGTTATGAAGGGCTCATGGATGCTCATGGCTTTGGTGCCACTCTTTGCTCAATCAAAAATATATATAGGGGGTGAGCCAGCTAACACCCCAATTGCAACAGCTGCGGCACCTGGGGAGGCTCATTGAAGATATTCTTAAGAAAGAACGCCCGCCTTCCAGTGCAGATGGTTCAGACAATTTTTGAACTTGTGTGGCACAGGTCCCTAGGAGAGCTGCAAGCATTCATGGAAGCGTCGAATGCAGCACAATATAACAACCTAAACACATTTTCTAAACTATGTTGTGTTTGTTTAAAATCTGCCTGAGAGTTTTTGTTTCTTCTTGAAGGCCTTAAATAGTAGGATCAGGATAATATGTGTATATATGCATATATTTACTTATTTAGGTTTTTGCAAATTTGTGCTAGCCACGCGTCGATCAATCGCAGCGGTTGGTTTCTGTGCACTAGCAACCTCAAATTACACCCAATGTAGAAAGCTGCAAGCTAGCGAACCCAAAGAATAGCCGGGGATATCATGCATATTGAGATACTCAAGGAACTTGTGTTTGTAAGTGTCCCTCTCTGGAGCAGAGAAGGCCTCCAAATACTACTGGTAAAGCTGCTGCCAGACAAGTCTTGTTAGGATTGTTGCTCATCGTATGTGCTGGAAGCATTGCCCGCATGGTAGATAGTGTAAAGCAGGTTTTGGCATTGTTGTGCAGGGTGAGTATGAGTAAGTGAGTATTGCGAGTTCACGGTGCAATGAACCCACCTGCGTCCGGTTTGCTCCATGTTCAGGCCGCGGTGAACCTTCGCAACAGCAAATCCCTGCGTTTGGCTATGTCACGCTCTACCCAGGCATCCCCAGCCCTCATGGCCAAAGCACGCCGCTTGACAACAAACATCAACCGAAGTACAATCCAGGAATAAGTTGTGCTTGGAAGGCTGTTGACTTCTCCAGATTCTCCATGTTCCCCTTGTCCTTTTGCATTTTGACCTGACTCGTTGACCATCCAAAATTCCTTTCAAGCTGAGGTGCTCTTTTGGAGCGCTTGGCGGCTGCAGAATCGGCAGCTTTTGAAGACTTGCGAGCAGCAGAGCGGAATGATGACCAAGAGCCTCCAGTACCCTGGAGGTGGACAAATCAGGAACACAAGGTCTTAGAGCGATGCTAGACTTGACGTATATAGTGCCTCATGGAGAACAGCACTGTGGAGCAAGGTCACAACAACTCAATTAGCGTGGCATGCCTGTTGTACTGCAGAGGCTTGAAAGGGCATACTTATAGCGTCCACATTCTATTCGTAGGCGTGGTGGCATGCGCAGGTTGGTGTGCTTGGATTTCGACAGAACCATTGCGAAGGACTGAGCGCCCAACAGCATGCATCAGGACCTGCATTTCCAAGCAGAGACCAGTGTGCGACATGTGAGGAGCATATGTGGGGCACCTACAAGGAAGCACCATTGGAGGATATCCCCGTGTCTGAGGACGAGAGATGACCCGGCTCAAGCACTATACTGTAGCAGATTGCGAACAGCTGTAGCAATCCAGGTCTCAAATCTTGGGGAGATGGTGCCCAGGAGACCTTCACTGACTTGGCACTGTTCCGGTGGTTGGTGCGAGCTGTGCGGAAGCGGGCAGGAGAAGTCGCATCTTGACAGCAGAGCCGACAAAGCATTGAACACAGATCCTTCCACATTGAACTGAACAGCCACGATTTGAGCCTGTGCGCGAGGCCATTGCCACCTTCGGCCGTGCAGATGTGGCGGGCAAAGCCATGAAGTTTGCGCTGGGCGAAGACCATGGCGTTGTGATCACCACTCCAGCGGACTTCCCAGACCCCGCACCCGACGAGGCAACTTTAGAAGACTCAATGGAGAAGAATACTACGGCCGTTGTTGGCAATGAATGCAATGCAATTTATATAATTTCTGTGCGCCCTTCAGCGTGGCTCTTGTATTTAGCCATATATACACAGCTGTGGACAGCTCCCCTGCCCCGCAGGTCAACGGCGAGGTTGTGGCTTGGATGACTTGCTTGCCTTTCGAAGTCTCTCCAAAAATCTAGGAATCACAGCCTACTTACACCCTCAATAGAATTCTTTTGAGAGATTCTTTGAGTGTCAAGGTGCACTGCCCGGAGGGGAGTTCTTGGCTGGGTGATAAAAACACCCAGTTGGCCTCACTGGCTCGGCGCTTCAAAGTGGCGGCCACTGATGCTTGGAGAGAACTTTGTGGCATCTATATAACTCATGAAGCATGGACTTGTTCTACAACTTGCTTTACCTAAGCTGGACACATGCAGATGCACGAAGCTACCAATCACATCCAATTACTAGTAACTATGCACATGTTTGTCATGTACGGGCACCCTTGTAGAAAGACAAGAAGCCTCCAGTCACGCTACATGTTGCTATTGTTGAAGTGGGATCTTTGGGCACGCAGACTTCTGTTTTTGATTAGGACGAATTGGGACAAGCCACATTTGAGGACATGATCTTATTTGACGACGACTTGCACAATGTCGAGGAGGCTGAAGCTCACCTGCATCAGAAATCGGCAAGCTGTGCGGCAAAAGCCACATATCATTATCATTACAGGGCGCCAGGGATGTCAGTTGCAGACTGGAATGTGCCTTTGAAGCGAGTGCTCTTTCTGCAAGCGCGTCATTTGGCCGAGGCAAAAGCTGGTGTTGCAGCCTTTCATGCTCCCGCTGGGCTCAATAAAGCCGCTGTTCAGAAAGTTGCCGAATTGATCGGACTCACTGGACAGTCAGATTGAGCGTCTCGGCGTCTCACTATTTTAGCAGATCGTCTCAGATTGAGCCGAAGCAAAAAAGAGTGGAAAGGCGCCTGAGGATCGACAGCAATTCCGAATGGTTCACCTTCGCTATTTCGGCAAAGCCACCAGGGGTTTCCCACTAGGCTACCGCTCCGATTCAGTAAAATCCGTGCGCCGACCAGGATTTGCAGCAAGTTGCGGATTCGCTGTGCCCGCTGACTTCAGCGGACTTCACTGGACAGCGGGAGAAAAACCTTGGTCCCGCAATTGCTGTTTTAGGAAGACGTTGTGGACCACCTGCTCTTGGTGCTGCGTTAGTCAGTCGATGCGGACACAAGAAGTTCGGGCCGGGAGTTCGAAGGTGGCTCAAAGACTGGGTGTCACGACATACAACACATAATAAATCATAATAAGCAGTTGAGACTCTAAGACGTTTGACCAAAGAATCAGAAGCGGTTGGACCAAAGGTTCGTTCCTAACAAACTGGCCCTGAACTCTTCAAGTTTCACCTGCGGCACTGCTGCTGCAATGGAGAAGTCTGCAACTTTGGATTTGGCTGCTTGGCAGTCATGGGCAAGACAAAAAATCCCCGAACCCCGTCCAACAAGAGGGCATTAGCATTCAAGTTGGATATTATCATTCAAGTTGGATGCGGAGTTTGATCGACTGGTTTTGGACACTGATCTGAATCAATTTTGGTATTTTGTGGAAAGACTTTGCATTTTTGCAAGCTGGTTGGCCTACCCAGATGAACTTGTGTGTAAATCACGTGTGCTATGTTGTGATAAGTGATAAGATGTGACAAGCTTATGCGGAACGTATGCGCAATATTTAAGAATTCAGTTTTTTTTTGTTTTTCAACTTTGACTCATGATCGCCCTGCGTCGTCGGCATGGCAAATGATCTACACTAAGCCTGCCGTGAAGGTGTTACATATATATATATACACGAGTCAGGCCGGCACGGTGCAATCGACTGCAGGATATGTCCGAAAGAGGCACCGCTGTGGAGAATGACTTTCGCGTGGTGGTTTCACAAGAGCTCCAGTGACCAGACAGCATTCTTGCAATCACAGTGCGTTGAGAGAGAGAGAGAGAGCCAGCCTTGGTTGCTGAGGAATTTGCAGTCCGTCATCGAGGAGGCAAATGTTCGGATTGTGAAGCTTCAGCCAGAAGCTTGGTTGTTGGACAACCCCTGCACCAACAATTGCCAACATGGATGACTGGAGGTCTGCTGCAATGCTCAAATGACTCCACAGGCAATGCTGGCAACGTGAGGTCAGAGATTGCGGCATCATCAAGTGGCTCAGCAGACCTGGCGACATCACGGATCTGTGGGCCTCGTGACCGCACTCTTGATGGCCCTACTTTCACTATCTTTCACTCTTAATTTGTGATCCAGCGGTATTGTTGGCCCTGCAGTTCCAGTGTTTCGTGCTTGGGGTTTGTGAGCGTATGCATTGTTTGCATGTTTTTCTTGAATTTGCAGCGCTATTTGGAGGCGCAGCTACGGTTTGACAAAGCGGTTGTCTCAACATCAAAATCCGGATGTGCCACCTGAAGAAGTCTGCCGTCTGAATACTGACGTGTCAATACTTGCCTTCATGTTGCGTTGCAGCTGCACGGCCCATCCATGAGAGAATCCCTTCAAATTGTCAACATGTATAAAGCGGCGTCCGTTGCCCATGGATTTCTTGCAACTTTCTGAGGCTGCACAACGGTCATCCAAACGAGAACCGGAAGGTCGTGGCTCCCGCCAGGCCCGTCGAATTTGGGCTTCAACATCTTGTCCACTTGGAACGTGATTGTTTTATACAAGGGGTTTGATAGGGGTTTGTTACACATTATGATGCATTTGTGTGATTACCCGAAACATGGAACAAACACGCAAACGGATATTAATATATATATATATAATGACACATATATACTGTATATATATATATGTTGCTTTAAATATAGTTTATTATAGTTATATACAAGGCTTTGAAACGCCGCACCTCACGGGTTAAAGTAGGCAGTCCCTAGATTCCAGAATTGCTGTCAGACCTGAGAAAACGGCACACGTTTATTTGAAAGGAGATAACGTGATACGGTGATACGTTTATTCATTGCCTTGGCTGTTTGTTTGATGTTGAGAGTGCATCCAGTTCAGGTCCTCAAATTCATAATGGAAACGGTAAACCTCACTTTTGAGCACCGGCCCCCTTTTGAAGTTTGCATGATAGCATTTTTGGAGTGAGAGTTGCTGAAAAGTGAAAAGTGAGCTTGAGTTTTGTAAATGCAGGTTGACAGTAATGCTACCCAGAGTGCAGAAACCCATTGGAGACGTTGCAAAAAAGAACGGGGACCCTTTTTGGGACAAGCGATGTGATACGAAGTCTTTTCGCTCCTGTGCAAGTTGTTGTTTCCTTTTCTAGCTTACATGTGTATAGTATACCAAGACATGTATAGGAGCTCGGCTTCGCCAGCATAGCGTCTCCAAACTGTCGAAACTTCAGCTGAACTTGTCAGACTTCTGAGATGTGCAGGCTGTTGCTCCACCAGCAGTTGCAGCAAGAGGCATGTTTTTGGACCTTTCCCTGTAGCTGTAGCTGAGGGAGTGGTGGAGCGTGGGCTGTTGAGAGAGCCTATAAGATCTCCTAAGGTTTTGAAACACACACACATGACTGATTCACTTGTATACTTCTGTCAAGCGAATGTTTATGCAAGTGTGTGAAGGTCCTCCCAACTCTCCACGGCTTCCTGTTCCTAGAGCAGCTTGGTAGCAAGATCATGTTGCATTCTCCCACATGGACGGATTTGCTGGCATGGGGTTGAGAGAGGATCGGTTGAGCTTGAGCACACACACCCGCCTAAGGCACAAACGAAAGATCCTGATTTAGCTGGGAAAGAAGACGTCCAGTCCCAGTTTGCCCGGATCGACACATCCCAAAACGGCGGCTCGTTTGCAGTTACTTTCTGAAGAGACGCAAAATGAAGGGTGTTTGTGTGACAATGTTCAGCATCAGGGTGTTTTGTGGTCACTGCTTAATATTCCCGAGTGTCTATTTATTAACAATTTAAACAGGAACTCGTCGGAGACCCCTAAATACAAAAAATGTATATATATATATATAGTATATATATATATTAATATATTTGTTTATGACTGACGGCCTTCTTATTGTGCGGCTAAACGGCACACGTGATCACACCTTTTTTTTGGGGGCGAGATCTGTTTATTAGGTACCCACCCCCTAGAATCACCACCAATCGTGTCCCTCACATCCCCTCACTAGCGACACGCCGCATTTACACATGCATGTGCGCCCTTCCCCAGTGGCACGGAGCCACACAAACGTGCTTTTCACCGAGGCTTCGCAAACATCATTGCACAGCGACATCACCTTTCAACATCTATAGTTGATGGTTTGGTGGAAAGATTGCAAGCGAAGAATATCGAAGACATACGATTTTCACAATGAGGGGTTTTGTAATGGGAACATTTGTAGTTGTTTTCAATTTTGGATACGAATTTAAAAAGTAGTATACAATAGTATACATATATTAAAAGACATTGGCAATTGTTTGGTTTTGAAGCGCTTCCCAGGTCCCAGGCTTCCATTTTTGCGGGCCCTTCTATTTGGGGGACTCCCATTAACAAAAAACGACGCCGGATTTGCTTAATCGGGGGGGCTGTGTGATTTTAGGTGGAAGGGATTAGGTTGTAATTTAAGATATGCACACGTGACAGCCCCCAGAAGATCTACCCTTCGCTTCTATGGCACTATGTCCTCCTGACAGTGCTAACACCACTTCTTCTAACAGAAAAGTGACTTGGCGGAATGTAGTGCACATTGCAGGAACCAATCAACAAAAGAAACACACCACTAAGAAAGAAACAACAAATTGTTTTGAGAAGAATATTTACAGGTTCTCAAGAGTTTTGCTGGTGCTAGTAGTTATTAGGTAGAGCTCCAAAAATCATGAACCCAAAATAGAGGCTCAGGCTCAGCCCCGAAAAAACATGAGAAACACATGGTTAATTCCTTGCATATTCGGGTTTTTGGGTAAACCCCGGCAAGGAGCACTCTTTTCGTTCTCTGCAGGGGTCCTGGTTTGTTTGCGGCCATTTGGCTCAAAAGCCGCACAAGTGCAAGAGTCTCTTGCACTTTCCCAAGTCTCCTTCATGGAATCAAAATGGGTAATTCAGCCTGGAGCCGGCCTCTTGAACGTCCATCTTGGTTGAGGTGCCCTGCTTCACGCTCCATACCAAACTAAGTATCCTGATGTCACTCTTCTCTTTGGCTTCTTGGCTCATCAGATTGCTCTCACTCAGAGCCTTGACTAGACTAGCCTTGCTGGTCAATACTGTCAATACTCCTAATGTTCTCCCGTACAGTTTTTGCTTTGTGGATGACTCGCCTGATCTTACACCTGCCTATGTTGATCAATCACATCGATTCTATTCTCCTCTAATTTAGTATCCACTCTGGCTCTTGTCCCTCACTTCCGGCATTGTATGCGCAGACAGGGCAGATGGTAGATCAGGGGTTAGCTGGCCGGCCTGGGCCTGCTATTTGAGTAAAATATATATTATATATCACCACTCGCTCGACGATCCTGAAAGCGTCAGCGGTATGTCGGTCGCTCTGGACCGATCATACAAGAAACCCCCTGCACAGAAAAGACTGGACCCTAGCAACTAAAAACAGAAAGGGACGCGCCATGAGTCAATGGTACGTCCTGCGCCGGCATTCAATGCCTTTGCCAAAGAAAAGAGGACGTCGTCCTCCATAAAGGGAACCGCGCCAATAATTGCGCTTTGTGGAAGAACCTTGCCGGCGGACTTAACAAACCTTGGGTTGAAGTCACCTGGGAAGGCATCAACATGTACATCCTTGGAGACAAATTGAAAAGCTTGTCTGATTTTACAGACAATTGAGTGCATGGTGATTGTGTCATAACCACCCTCACATCTGAATCCCCTTGTATGGAACAAAAGAGCGATCTCGCAAAAACTTGTTGCCGTGTCAGCTTGGATTTTCCAACGCAGGGTACGGGCGAACTTGCAGATCTCATGCCACTCGGCCTGCGCATATCTCCAGCGTTTTGGCGGAGCAAGCTTGTCTGGTATTTTGGGCTTCCAGCCATGCAGAGCTTTAACCGCATTCCATTCCCACTTGGGAAACTGTCGTCGTGCATCAGCAATGTCAAAGTTATCAACAGTTGCAGGGATGTCAAGACGGGGTGCCACAGAAACTTCGGCATGTGTATCTAGGTGGGCATGAAGTCTGACTAGCCACTCCTGATGCAAGGTCGCGGCTGCTTGCATTGCCCGTGTCATGTGTGGATAAACCGGAGCAATGCGGGAAGCCAGTGTCCGCGCCGCATGGTCGGCATCACGGTTTCGAATGATGTGCCGGACCGTGGTTCCTGCTTCGGCAGCTTTGACGGGGCACAACTGGTGGTTTGGCACATTCTTGAAGAGGTGCGCAGGTATCCAATGTATTTCCAATGGCGAACAATGGAACTGTGATCGAGACCTCTGCAACTCCAGAATTGCCAGCCACCACTCACGGCATTTCCAATGCGGTTGAACGGCCCCATGTTGCACCAAAAGCTGGACATTGTGCACAACGGCCTGATTGTCACAGAAAATGCGGACCGGTGCTTGGCTGCTTGAAAATGCGATCCAAATGGCCCACAGTTCGGCTACAAAACTGGAAAGGTTCCAGCGTTGTACTCTACCTACATGAAGCTCGTGTCCATGCTGGTCAATGACAGCAAAAGTGGCTGTCGTCAGCCAAAAGCTTTCCTGCCAGAGAACTGACCCGTCAGTCCATACTTCCTGCAAGGGAGCGTCGGGGTCAAAGAATGCAGCTTCATCAACCCGTGCTATGCTGTGCAATAACCGAAAGGCAGTGAGGCGGAAAGGGTGTTCCACATGCCCCACAAGTGGAAAATTTGGTCCAAGTTCGTGGAGAACAGGTGGGGAGGCGGCATTATGATAGGCAGAGCATTCGTGAACTATATGGTACAATGATTCTTTGGACTGACCGCACAACCTGCAGGTGTTTGAGTCGCACCAGCCTGCAGCAGCAAGACGATCTCTGGTAAGTGTGCAGCCAACGATGACTGATTCAAACCTGATGGTGGATGAGGGCCCGTCAGGTGTGGCAAAGGTGGGTTTTCGAGCAAACATCTTCGAGGCATGCAAATCCAGGAGACCTGTCGGCTGACTGAAGTCCTTCCGGGTGGTGGAGGCGGCGCGAGTGTATGCGCACTGGCAAACAATCTGTTGAAGTGCTGGGGCAACATCACGTGGGGCACATTCGCCCAGCTGAAGCGGAGCCGAGTGATGAAATCGGAGCCGCAGTTGCGAGTCGACCTGAATGCCCAGGGTGTCACATGCATGTGCAAAGCACGAAACAAGAGAATGTTTGTGATTTGCTCTGGCTTCCCAGAGAGTGCAGAGTTTCTGGACAATCGTTGGTGCTTGAAAGCAAAACCTGAAAAGTTCCAGAACACAATTGTAGGCTTTGACCAAGGAAGGATCGGTCCGATGTGGTTGTCCATGAAAAGTCAAAACAAGCCATCTGGAACGTGCGATCGGCCGATGTTTCCAAAGGGCCTTGACAACTGCCCCCTGAACACGCTGGATTGCAGCTTTGGGCAAACAAGAAATGTGTGCACCGTAGGTGAGTGTGGGAATGGCTTTTGTCCCAATTAGTGAGGCTTTAACCTTAAGAGGAATCGGCAGGGCCCCAATACACTCAACAGAAGCAAGAACCTTGTGTAAAGTTTTGTCATCCAGCCCGCAATCATTCTTGTTGGATGTGTAGATACGGGTTCCTAAGGCATCGAAAGTAAGGGCGAGCTTCATCTCTGGGAAGGTGTCTCGGACGGCTTGGCGAGCCGTTGTGGAAGTGCCCCACACGATGGATTTACCATCATTAAGCTTCTGCCCAATGAGCATGTCCCACAGCTTGGTAGCCTGCACGGCCTGCGAAAGAAGCGCAATGTGATGGATTCTGGCCCATAAATATGCGTCGTCAATATAAGCCTTAACCGTGATTTCGGGCATACATTCAAGCATGTGGATCCACACTTTGGTGTGGACGTTGATTGCTATTAGGGATAGGGAGCAACCCTGGGCTACACCGTTAGCTGCAGTGGTGTGATTTGGGTTCATCCAGCCCTTGTAGCAAAGATGCCTACGGAAACCCCTGTACATTTTGGCGAAAATGTTGACGAAACCTTTGGGGAGGCCCGGGGAGGCCCAGGGCCAGAAACAACGCACATGTGATCGAAGGGACGATGCGATCGAAGCACTTGGCCTTGTCGAGCTTGACACCGATTAGGTCTTGGTCAGCATGCTGGGCGGTGTCGATATCAAGCCGCAGGGCTGTGTGCAAAAGCGGCATGGTACGACCTTTGATGCCACCAATGATGGAAGAGGTGGCATTGTGGCTTCTTGCCATGACTGCAACTGCTCGTAACTAGCGCCAGTGTAGGCGAGCAGTAGAGCGGGAATGATGGTGATAAGCCGCTTGTTCATGGCGTCATTTGGCCCAGGTTTGTGGAGTATTATTATTTGCTTAGTACAAGTGAGCATGTGTGGAAGCTCATTGCCAAAGGTGTCCTCAGCCCACTGAAAGAAACGAGCAATTGGTTCGAAGGTTTGGACGGGTAGAGCTTGGAGCTCGACAGTTCGCCACCCATCTAAGCCTGGGGCGGCTTGCTTCTTTCTACGTTGAATGACCCGAAAAAGGGATTCCGCGTCAATGGGGGGAGAGAGGCAGCATGGACATGATTGCCAACATAGGGCCAAATGGTCTGCAAAATCTTAATGGGGTCTTCATGTGAGGCATTGACTCCATAGACCGAATCCCATTTGGAGTTCAAGCAATCAAGAGCTTTATCAGGCTGGTAGAGGATGTTGCCTAACTCGTCT